ATATAGTATTGTATATGACGGTGGCCTAATGCCATCTATATTGTATTGTAATATAGTGTATGCTGGCGGCCAACCAAGGCCACATATATAGTATTGTATATGACGGTGGCCTAATGCCATCTATATTGTATTGTAATATAGTGTATGCTGGCGGCCAACCAAGGCCACATATATAGTATTGTATATGACGGTGGCCTAATGCCATCTATATTGTATTGTAATATAGTGTATGCTGGCGGCCAACCAAGGCCACATATATAGTATTGAATATGACGGTGGCCTAATGCCATCTATATTGTATTGTAATATAGTGTATGCTGGCGGCCAACCAAGGCCACATATATAGTATTGTGTATGAAGGGGGCCTAAGGCCTCCTATATAGTAGTGTGTGGTAAGCCTTGGTTGTAAGCTATACCGCCTCCAACAAAGAAAAGTAGGCTGCATCACTTGCACAGTGTATTATTACGCCAGCGGGGCCCTAGGCCCCCGGTGGTTTAAGGCAACAGTTGGATGTGGATATCTGTCGCCTGCAAATTAAAAGGGGCTAGCAGCACCGACATATTGGATAATTGTAATTTCGTTCAGACAGTTTAGCGCGTTTTGGGCGTCGCTATTCTGTTTGAAATGCATTATGCATTCACGCATGAAAACATAGTGTGTGTAGAATGTGGTTTCGCAGAAATAAGCGGAGTATTAAATGAGGCTATAAAAGAATATGATGAGATACATTATGAGGATATAATGATTTACAGAATGTGAACTTATAGATATTTACAATGCCAAGTCGACATTTAACGTACGCTCGGCGAGGGTCGGGAGAATGTAGACGAACGTAGTTCTTAGTTCGCTGTTGCTATCAGTGTTTTGCTCGTGTCTCGTGATCAGTTCTGATTGTACCTTCACCAGGGCAGAGTCTCACCATGCAGTCAGCTGTACTATACGCAGCGCTGCGGTGAGTGTGAAGTCAACTAATCGGAGTTACAGTGAAGGATTCCCTTTTAGACATCTTCGGAGGAAAGTGGCTAAGAGAATTTAGCAGGCATATCCGGTAGGCACATAGGGTAGAAAGGAGCGAGAGTGACAACGAGAGTGATAGAAAAGGAGAACGCGAGAGGGAGAGGGGAGAAACAAAGAGAGAGTGAGGGCAAGAAAGAGAGGGAGAAAGAGAGAGAAAGAGAGATAGTATTAAGAGCTAATAATACATTGTATTACATGTATTCAATTATACAATGTATTATTAGCTCTTAATAGTATGCGCGCTTGCGTACGTGCGTATATCTGTATGTGCGTTTGTGTGTTAAAGTTATTACGTCACCGTAAATAGTAAAAATGGGGAAAAAAATTCCACTTTTTCACAAAATACAAGTGATTCTGTTCACTTTTTATGGTTAAATTGCTGCATTATACTTCCTATTTTACTACATTGTTCGATGTGGACATATACTCGTGAATCATACATAGCCCATGCATAGCAAGCAATTAATTTCAGGAACATAATATCAAATCGTCCAGGTTTTTTAGATTTTTAACTAGTTGAGAAACATCTGATCAGGTAAAAATTTGACGATACGTTTAGTCCCGTTAGTTCTTACTTTTAATGTAAAAAAATGGCAACAAAAATTTTACAAATTTTACCATAGAAAATTCGTGAGGTAGTCAATTTAAATAGAGAGAAAGGGATAAAGAGAAGAGAGAGCTAGAGAGAACGAGAAAAATGGAAAGAGCTATAGATAGATAAGGAAAGGGGACAGAGAAAAAGATAGAAAGAAAGAAACTGAGTGAGAGAGCGATAGAGAACTAGAGAGATAGCAAGAGAAAACTCAAGAATTCAAGGGCATAAAAATATAAGCAACCGCGCTATATGCCCTAGAGTTATCATACCTTTACGTGGTATAGAGTGGTGCTATCTCATTGGAAGGCGTATAGCACACGTTTACTATGTAAGCTGTTTAGTGTGTATAAGTGTATAAGTGTATAAGTGTATAAGTGTATAAGTGTATACTGTGAGTAAGCACACGTTTACTGTGTATAGCCCGCGTTTACACTGGTCCATTATTTCTCATCGTACAGCTCAGGCGGTTGATCACGCCATCAGTATGAAGCTGTTAATCTGGCTGTGCCTCGTGGTAACCGCAGCCATACCACCGCTCCTGGCTGCACCTACTACTGCCGGCCTGCAATGCAACTACGAGGTAAGCGTTCTCGTATACGCCTTTAACACATTGTGTTATATCAGGCGCGTATAATGACAAATATTATTAATGACAAAAATATTTGTCATTATACGCTCCTGGTTATATCAAAATCTCCTATCTTTTAACTATGCTAATTATAAATGATTTCTGAGAGATGTGGCCGCTATTTAATGTCATGGTTCATGACTATACTCATCTTTACCATGAATTTCTGCATAGTAAGAATGTATCATACGCCGCTCCACTTCTTATTATCTCTCTCTGCTCTTTCTTCTCTTCTTCCTTATCCTCATCCTCCTTTTTCTTCTTCTCCTCCCACACCGTTCTCTCATTCTCCTATCCCCAATTATAGATATGTGTATATCATATGTGTATATTATGATGTGTGTATATATGTGTATATGTGTATATTATTATATATATATATATATTAGTAGATATGTGCGTTTTTCTTTAAATGTATAATTAAAGCAAATTGTAATATTCTTTTTAGAACTGACAATGTACTATTAATAGTTTGACAGTGTACTCCTGTATTCCGTACAGACAATAAAAATCAAGTCGTTATTTGCGGAATCGTAAAGTTTAGTCGTTCACGTGCACTTACAGAAACTGATAAGCTATGTTTGAATGCGCCGTAGCTACTCGTCCCACAATACCACCCATGTAGACATTCCTAATATAATACAGAGAAACTAAGCCTGTAACTATAAATTTGCCTTACAAATTACTCACACGGTAGTCAGAGAGTAAAATAGATTACCTCGATCCAATATAATTCTTTAGTATAATGATGTTTGGGCGAAGTTTTCTGGCACTTACGTCTTTTGATCTCTATAAGAGGAAGGGGCTGTACACGGTACAGGGGATCCAACTGATAACATACAATAGAACCAAGGCTTACTGTTTAGACCAAGTTTATGCGTTTTTACTTGCCAACATTTCACACTGTTTTCCTCTATAGGACCTACGCTCTGGGAGCCTGCCATGACGTAGCTGACACTATAGATATATATAGAATGAAGATCTTTAGAAGAACATAGATCTTTATTTTATATCTATGCTGACACTGACTTAACATTCCAATCTAAATGTCACCCAGCGTTATTTCTCGTATCCATAATGTGATGTACAGTTTTAATGTTACGTAACGTGACTTAAATGTGTTAGTTAGGATCGAGGCGAGAAAGTGATCTCAACCCACCGCCACGGTGCGTCACATCATTAAACGTGTATGTTTTCTACACCTGTTTGTTTTAGATTCTCCACTCCACCTTGTACGCAACAGATTGCAAAGATTGTACTAAAATACTCTCCTGTCAGCAAATATCATAACTGCTGACACGCATTTATTTACACTTTCAATCAGTGAGTGCGTGTTTACGCGATCCTTCAACAAACACGTCCCAGTCAGCAAATAGCCCCTCCAGTCCACGAGCACGCTATGCGCTATAATCTATAGTCACACCATGATCCTCGGCTGATCCTCTGATTAGCCTACGTTGCCGTGGAATAAAAGGATTGCTGTAATAAGCAATGTATAAGCATGTATAAGCATGTATAATCATGTATAATCATGTATATAAGCATGTATAAGCATGTATAAGTATGTAGGGCCTACAAGAAAAGCAAATCAACACGCGTACGCGAACGAAACGCACACGTTTGCGAAAGCAATAGCCAGCCTAAAAGATTGCAATACGCACGTATATATAGTGTGATATCAGCTGGACATTGATCAGCTGTTTACCGAATTGTACCTAAATGTCATGGGCGGTCAGAACGGATATGTCTGATTCAATATACTGCATTAGCATGAATATTATTTAAGGTTAGCTTTCACGTTTAAAAACAATTATTAGATGTTTCATTTACATAGATAAATACAGTTATGATATACTTGGGATTATATGTTTATAGTAGAGAGTGCAAACTCCGAAAAATGTCTATGCTAATCTTCTCTCACTCCTTCACGCCTCTCTGTACGCAAATCTTGTATCTGCTAAAAGAATTCAAACTTTGTTTAAATTATATATTTAAAATAGAGAGGGCATAATTTATTCAGAAATGCTTTAATATGAAAAGTTGAAATGTATGCACGTATAATATTGTTGAAATTATGTATCTATAGTAGGGAGTGCATACCCCGCGGATAAATTATTTTACCGCGGTAGAAATAATTTAACTGCGGTAAAATTATAGCCCTTTTACCCAATCAGAGGCGTTGTTTCACATAATTTAACCGCGGATAAATTATATTTACTGAGGGCAAAGTATGTGTACCAAGGCTTCTGATTGGGTAAACGGGCTATAATTTTACCGCGGTAAAAATAATTGTTCTTGAGTATGATGGCCAACCATAATTTCTGAGTATGATGGCCAACCATAATTTCTGAGTATGATGGCCAACCATAATTTCTGAGTATGATGGTCAACCATAATTTCTGAGTATGATGGCCAACCATAATTTCTGAGTACGATGGCCAACCATAATTTCTGAGTACGATGGCCAACCATAATTTCTGAGTACGATGGCCAACCATACACGTGTTCACTAGCTGCTCAAGGGTGATGATTGGGATCAGGGCCGTGTCCACCGTACTTACAGTCAATACCAGCATACGAATACCACAAGATGTGAAACAATCATTGGTGAGCATTTCAACGCTCCATCCATTATTTTACACATTTAGTGCAGATTAGAGACTGAACATCTCCCATCTGAAATACTAACACTGCGCTGCGGCCCTGAATATTTTCACGGATAGTTGCACACACACGCGTGTCCACTAGATGAACTTACAGCGTTCTTGGGTGTACCCTATTGTTGTTCGTGTATTTACCCCCATCATTCTACCACCACTACTCGGCACACATCTGGATTCGCTACTGAAAAA